CCACCGTGGTGCAGCAGCTTCAACTAGCAGGACAATAAATGTTGTTTGATGGGAAAAACTGCTCAGGTCAAAGCGCTGAGCACGTTCACACATCCCAAGCCCACGGAGCATTGACAGGATGCACCGAGGCAAAGTGGGAACGTCAGAATGTTTTGGAGCAAAACAGGAAAAAAAATATTAGGCAGATAGTTTGGGTTCAGTGGATCAGGGCACATCTGTGATGACATATTTATATCACACAAAACAGAATTCTTTTGATAGTCTGAAAACTCCCAGATAATGCAGCTGTTGTGGTCCCATAACAGGGGTCTCGTCTTGCTCTTAGTTGGTAAAAGCTGAAACGATCTGTCCTGGGTGGGACTGTGCACAGCTGGTACTGCTTACTCTGATCACAGCCGCAGACGTCAGGTTAGTGTTGCTTGAGTGTTCTTAGAGTGGAGGTAAGATGGTGTGATCACCCACACAGTTTACTCCAAACATGATTAGTCTCTGAAGCCTGCAATGAACCTTATTTTAGCTCTCGCACATATGAACCCCAATTTTGTGACATTTGCTCTGGTTTAGTTTTCAGAGACCACAAAGAAAATCAAGGTAAACAATAGTGACGAAGTCTAGAACTGGTCACACTTTACTGTTACTCTGAAGCAGCTTACAAACACCAAAGCCTCATTTTCAGGTGAGCAGTGAGGTCTTCAAAGTGCTGCAGTCGGAGTCAGTCCTGTCGCCCTGCACGCACACCAACAGTTGTCTGTTCACTGTGTGACACCTCTGACCATAATCTGTGCTGATGACTTCTCAGGTGAAATATTGCAACAGACAGGAAGTTTAATCTGAATAATTCCAGATGTTTTCACTCTTGGGGAAAACGGTCAGAGTTACAGGAAAGTGCTTCTCAGCAATTATATCCAATTAATTTATTTGAATTATACTCCTCTCCTACGGTGACCAGTGTGCAGGAGACAAAGCCATTTCACACAGTTCAGGACAAAATGCAAACACAAAGCAAAGGCCTTCTTTGCTGCAGATGACACAGGACGAAGAGTCGACATAGATTTCTGTACAAATGTCTTCTGATGTCCTGACAGAAATCCAGCTGGTAGTGTTATTGGGGCGATTGCATTTTCTCTCAGACTGACAACATCCAAACTTTAAGAATGACAAAGGCAAAATTAAAAATGTTTTCACTGCACTACATTGTTTATTGTGGCTACACACATGGTTACTGTGAGAGTCAACGTCTGTCTAGATAAGAAGCGTTGCAGCTGGGCTTTGATGGCCCTGCTCATCAACAGGAATGGAAGCAAAGAGTACTAATGGCTCATAATAACGCCGCCCTAATCACGCTTACCGACCACGTTTCCTTCTTAATTATTCTTGATGGTTAGAGAGTCTGAAGAGACACGAAGAGGAGAAACTGAAGGCTATCTCATCAGTCCTGCACTGTGTTGTCAGAACTACTCTGAGCCCTCTGCTGTTTCTTTTTGTAGCTGGGCCAGCGACATACTGGACAGCAGTGTCTGCCCGCTGCCAACCATACCACAATGCACTGCTGGTGGAAGGCGTGGCCACAGGGGAGACCCATCAGTACCTCCTCGCTCACAAAGGTCTCCAGACAAACCACACATTCTGAACACTGAAGCATGTCACAGGGCCACATCGACCAATCACAGTGTTGATGGTTAGAAACACAGTCAGATACGACGCAGTTATCCTTCACCGCCCTGTCAGCTGACAGCGAGCTTCCATTCCTGGATGATTCAGCAGCACACGGACGGCCGCCGCTGGCATCCACGTCGCTGCACGCAGGAAGCTGTGAGCTGAAGTTCACACTACATAGTGATCTCTTGTGGCTGCTGCTACCATGTGGAGGCTCCTTCCTCTCTTTGTCTGAATGCTGACGTGTTTCTTTATCCGCCTTTTCACAAGAGGCCTCCAACCTGGGCTGACCGGCTGCTCTGAGCCTCCAGGTCGGCAGCGTTTTGATGTAATCCATGTTTACTAATGGACGAAGCCACAGATCAGGAAAAGCCAAATGCTCAAATAAGAAGTTAGGATCATCTTCCCACTCTGACTGGTCAGATGGAAACTGCTGTAGTGATGCAATGGGATGGAGCAGGTAGGAGGTGTACCAGTCCCACAGACTGGCCAGCCACTCCAGGTTTGTCCGGCTGTCTTCTTGGCTCCTGGTGCCACAGCGCCGTTTCTTCTCAAAGTAGTCGACCAGCAGGCCGTGGGCTAGATAGGTAGACAGGAAGAGAGCTGGGTGGGATGAGTAGAAGGTCCAGTCAGCTCTCACCAGGCTGGCCAGTGTAGTGGTGTCAGCATAACGCAGCAGCTTCAGACTGTAGCCGTGCAGAATGTCCAGATAGGGCAGCTGAAGGAGAGCCTGCAGAGAGTGAGCAGCCAGTGATTAGTGACAGTTTTACTGAGTAGAAACTGAACATGCAGTCTGCTGTTACATGCTGTCAGAACAGTTTGGATTCTCTCTGATATGAATGCAGTAAAGTACGACACACAGCCCTGTTAATGTGGAGTAACTGCACTCTACTCGATTCACTGCCAACGATGGCAAATGTCCCGTGATGTCCTGTGGATGCAGACATCCGAACACAACTGGGCACCGTGCAGGCCTGCAGGCCACAGCCAGGCCTTTGGTTGGACCGACAGGTAAAGGTTCGTCCACCAACATTCTCCAGGAAACTCCCACAGTGGATGGCTGTTTTTGTGATTTTGTGGAAAATTGTAATTATGTTGCTTTTAATTTGAAAGTCCCTCCTATTTTTTAAATTTATGTAAGTAATATGTGTGCAAATGAATGCAGCTTAACTGCAAATGCACTGGAAGAGATTTAGAGATTTAAGTTGGCTAACCATGAAAAGTGAAAACTCACTTTAAGTCATCATTGTGCCCCTGAAGTGTATTTAGTCCAGATACAGCACATTATATTGTAGTACAATAATCCAAGCATTTATAAATCTATTTATAAAAAGAAAATCAAGTGTTAGTGTTTCCACTAATATGGAAACACTAATATGTTTAGAAACTGTTAGCATAAAGTATGAGAGCCTCCTCCTGCGGACACGAAGCACGCTCCCTGTCAGTATTTTTGTATTAATGACTTTTAATAAATGTTTAATAAATCACAGAAGATTTGCCTTAAATCTAGATGACTGCTAAAAATCACTTTTTTAAATTGTGTAAATAAATCGTTATTGTTTAGCTCTCGTTCAGTCTTTTTTTCTTTACTGCAGCAAATGAAAGTTACAGTTTGAAAGTAAAATGCTTAACACAAAGTCAGGTGTGAGGACTGAGTGGTGCCGATGATTCCCTACCAGAACTGGCAGCCAGGAAACCAGCAGGATGGAGTTGTAGGTCCCAAGTGTTCGGATCAGAACTACAAATCGTTTCACGGTTGCTCCCTGAAAGCATGTTAACGATTCACATCAGAATTTCAGAACAGCACTACATGACCTGCAAGCTAGAAGACCAAAGACAAAGCAACAAAACCCAAACACAGAAGGAAAGAAAGTAACATCAGGTTTGGAGATGCTGCAGTAAGACCTACAGAGAGCTGTTCAATCAGCATATCTTATAGTGACGTACAGATCTGTAACACGACTGAAGATGCACCAGACAAG